CTTACTCTGAAAACCACTAGGCCACCCTACCCCTGGGAGCCCAGGGGAAGAGAAGGGAGAAGTATGCCATTCTGTAAGCATAGAAGATACTTACCTGAATGGCACCTAACTGCGATTGAGAGAATTTCAAGATTGAAACAAACTATAACGAGAAAAGGGGAGACTTTGCAGTATAACCCCATTACGCAACAGAGCTGCGACAAGATTTAAATTTCAACGAGTGGCATCCCTTTCCGTATCGGGAACGAGACTGTCTTGCCAAAGGATCAAAGCGATCGTGAGTTCTCACTTGAGACTTTCAAGGGACGGCCGGACGTGTTCCTTAGCAAGCAACAGTATCTTGCATCAGTTGTTCTAACTGAGGGCAGATGCGCCTTGGTCAAGGGCGAGCCTCTGGAACCTCGGCGGCGAGGACGACTTGCTTATACCTGGGCTGAGGCGGTGCTTCTGGGTGGCCTATGACTGTTCCGTCTGAAACACTTAATAAGGAGACTAAGGAACACCACTTATGTGTGGAAAAACTTGAGGAAGTAAATTGATCACGATGGATATTGTCAAAATTTAGATTTGCACACTAGATCGACCATCTGTAACAGCCTGCATACTGTGCACGCCCAGAAGTAACTTGGCAAAGTAGACCAGTGAAAAGTGAGCCGTTAAAACGCTGCAGAAACCTTTGCGTTTTAGAGTTGTCGTGATCAAGTTCTTAGATTAAATATGGAGACAATTTAATTTGAGTTAGAACATTCATCCAGTTGCATTCAGGCTAGGCCACCTCAAAACTCAATTCCTACGCATCACCAATCTTCAGCTGCATGAATTAGCCTGATTCAACCCCAAAACTCTGCAGTTCCTGTGAGCTGCTCCGCTATTGTTTCGTCTGAATTGGTGTTACTGCATTTTAATAATCTAACTGCACTAAATTTAAGTACTGCAATAAATAGTAGTTACTGCAATAAATTTCAGTTTAAAATTTGCTACCGTCCTGAATGTTTGTTATCACTGAGGTGTAAGTAAATCTAAATTATATGATCATTATTTCTTCCTTTTACTTTTGCCACCTATTCCTTAATAGTGGAATAGTGGGAGGCCACTGAACCACTTACTGTGAGTACACTTTTCAACGCCCAGCCGTGTGAAAAGTGTGCCGTGTACCGTGTTGAGGGCCAGCTGGTCATCAATTGGGAATTTTTTTCCCTTACCTACTAGTGGAAAACCTCCTGCACGGAACTGTGAAAAACTCGAAGTGAATATACTTACGTTTATAGAATGAAATGAAAACCAGGACCGCATTCCACGTTCAAATACATGTACCTACGCTTCGATTACTCTTTGATAATTATATTCAATTGACTTTGATTAATCAAATTAATCATATATGATTCATGTATGCCTCGATTTTTTCTTATCATGTGTGCAAAAATGAAGTCAAAAATTATGAGGGAGATTTACGCGCTCTTTTGTGAGTGGCGTGTTAAATCTGGCCATTGACTCTGACCAGCTTAATTGGTTACGACCTGTTAATTTTATTTACTATATTGACAGAAATATTTAATTTATTTCTAATAAAAACATTTATTTAATTATAGAGAATCTCATAGCAAATCAAATGCAATGATTTCAGGTTTTATGACTCATCGAGCCAAAATGTATTGACATTGTAACGTTGAAATAAATCTTCATACAGCCTCCCCTTTTTCAAACAGCCACCCTTTATGATGGGCCACCACACATCATCGAAAGGCCCAGCACTAAAATCCTAATTGTCAGATGTCGGAATTTCTCTTCTGGAGCACTCTAGCCATTGTACAAGTTCTAATAAATTTCATCAAGCCAGTTGATGATGGTTAGACATAATGCGGGTTTCTCGAGGAATGAACGCACTTTTGTGTCTATTTTAGTTTATTACCAGAATATTGATTGAGTGATAAGATGAGTATTTATTTAAGTCAGCATACAATTTTCAAGTTGATATATAATGTACTTTTTAACTGGTTCGTGGTTTTAGATCAGAATTAATTTTCAGTTTTTAACGCGAACAAAACTTTTCTGCTGAAATCATGGTTCGGAGTAACTAGAAAGTTAGGCAGAGAAATCTTTGAGGCCTCGAGTGCTTCATGTTCTGACCTACCTTCGTCTTCCTTTTGCTTTCGTGGTGCATATTTCGATAAACAGTAAAACTTCGCGTCGTACCCCTAGCAAAAATTCTTAATAGTTTGCAACCCAAACTGCTGTCGTCACTTGGTGAAGCGATACGATAATGCCGTGCTTGGGTGAGATGGCTGCTATAGCCGGAAGCGATAGCTATAGGCTTGTGCGGCAGCTTTAAAATAGTCGCCACAGGATCCTCTATATGACATTCACTGCTATTCGTACCGTCATGCATAAAAGTATTCACTACCTGAAGTGGCGTCGGCTTCGTGTTAATTTCAGTATACCTATAAAACACATGGGAAAAGGCGGTATCGAACACTTACCTTCCTACATGCGTGCATTCCACAAACCGATCAAACCTAAGGCAGACGATAAAAAAGTAAATGACTAAATTGTGTACGGAAATCACCGACATCACTGCATCCTTCATCATAACTGCACGAACTGCAGACACATTTCAGCCCTGCCAGCTACAGACAACTACGGAAACATGAACGCACCATTCAGTGCACATGGCACAGTATAATACTCAGTAAAATAATATTTCTAATAAAACAATAAATGAGTCGCTACGTTATAGCTTTTCATTAATATCTCAGTGAATAATTTATTTTGGGACTCAAACGGCATTATTAAGAAAGTTATTTTCAGATTTCAGCAGATTTGTAGCAACTTTTAAATAATTCTGTAGAAGAGCAATGTGAATTTTTGAAATCAATAAAATGTCGAATCAAATAAAACTATTGGTATTATAGCACTTTTATTTTATTCCCAATGATTTATAAAAACTATTTTACTCAGAATGAAAATGTAATCACACTTTTTATCCCTCAAAATTTGAATAGTTGAGAAATTGCTCTAATTATATCACCACAATTATTTTCCCTCTTTTTGATTCTGCTTGTCTGTTTCGAGCCTCAAAAAACCTGTGCAAAACCTCTCTACTCTGCCGAACGATCTGACCAAAGCTGATGAACCATCAAGAATGAGCGTGTTTGAACATAACATACTTCGCTATATCAATGTGTTGCGACTTAGTCCCGTGCTAGTATGAGAACACAGGCACATTGTCGTGGAGTCAATCAAAGCAATATTAAAACACCCGCATAGTTGATAGACAGATTTTACGATTTGCAGAAGTGCGCTCTCGTTACGCGCGAATATATCTTTCATTCATTTTTATGAGTGATTTTATTTGTTTCATGTTCATGCAGGTAAATGTCCATAGAACCAGACCTGTAAATAATGTAAGAAATAAACGCATGAATCAAAGTGAAAGTGCACAAAAAAAAGCTTTAAAATGTTTTTACACGAACTCGGACTCCGTTTTGAATAAAAGAAGTGAACTATTAACTGTGATTGAAAACGAGCGGATAGACATTATTTGTATTACAGAAACACTCCCTAAAAATCACGGGCGGAAAATTGTACCTGTTGAATTTCAGTTGCCAGGTTTTGATTGTTTTCATAACTTAAATGAAGAGCAGTGCAGTAGAGGTGTAGCTTTGTGGGTTAGAACCTCTTATGGGGCCCAGCAAGTCAAGTTATCTGCAGAACATCAATCAGCTAGAGAATCAGTGTGGTGCGAACTTGATCTAAAAGGCAAAGATAGCCTCCTCATAGGCGTCGTGTATAGATCACCAAACAGTTCTTCTGATAACGATAAAATACTAAACAGTCTTTTACCGAGCATG